TATTGGTCATTATTTTATAAGTGAAACGGTTTTTGATTACTTGGTTGTTTTTTAACTGAAATTGGCATGAAATTTGAAATATAAATAAATTAAATATTTAGAATTTAGAGGGTTTTTCGAATAGCAAAGAAAGAAATAAAGGACAAACACAAAAATTTATTATACTTTTTATTGAAATTTGGCTGACCATACAACGCTGTTTGGAGTATTGCCAATTATTCTTCATCAGTGGTCTTAGGAAAAAATCGAATTATATTTAATTAGTTTATAGTCTGTATATAATTTGTTTGGACCAGGCTTAGAACTTGTTCATTGTAAGCTTTGCACGTAGTGACAGGTCATTAAAAGTGACCTGTCACTTTTTTGACCTGTTAATGACCGGCCTGTTCTCCAGGCCGCTTTTAACCTGGAGAACAGACGACTTTTGCAGCCGCTTATTATCAGTACCGATGCTACATTGTGGACAGCGAATAGACTTCATTACAACTCATTCGCCATTACCAAGAAGGGAAGCCCTACCAGTAGCATGCTATCACCAACATCGCTCGAAGATTCTACGTAACTACTGAGCCTTCTCATCACGTCAAGGTGGCAGTCCCCGAGAAGGTGAAAGCAAAGTGTACATTTGCTTAAATGAACTTTTATTTGTAAAATATTGTTTATTATTTCTATTAGCATTTTATTACTATAATATGGCTGTTATTTTTTTGAGGACTATTAGGATAAAGTTTGTTCTCAATGCACTCTAACAATATGGCTTCGATAGGTTACTTTGCCTTACCATTGAAACTATACCTACTATAATATGAGTTCACTGTTTTACAATTAATTTTTGGAGTCCTGATTAATATAAATTAATTAATTATTGCTGTCATTTTTCAATACATATCAATAATTATGTTATTGAAATTGCTTTATAAAGACTTATGGATTATAATGATGTTAAGAAATTTATTAGTAAACTTTCTTCATCCAAAACAAAATCACTCACTTGATTGAAATGTAAGTGTATTAGTGGACTGATAAGCTTCAAGAGAAAATATTATTCAGCTTTAACAAGCTTCTTCGTACTTAAAGAAATAAAATAAAACAAACACAAGAAAAAAAAACAAAAACAAAAATTCAGAACAAACGTCAAAGACACCAAACGCACGTGCTTCTCACTAATAAGACATGATGCGCTATTTGAACACACCTACACACGCACTCACACACTAATCAATGTACACACTCAAACTAGCGTAAAACCCAACTAGCCGAATTCGTTTATTAGACATTGACGACCATTTTCTGCTTTTTATTGGAATTTTTTTTTTGTATTTTGTCAATTCTTTGTTTTCATTTCTTTACCTTTTTCTATCGTTTTCCTTTTTGTTATTGTATTAAGCATATTTTGTGTTTTTGATTATGTTTTAGAAATAAATTAATTTTTTATGCGTTTTCTTTGCGTTTTTATTAGATTTTCTTCGTGTTTTAGTATTTCGGTTTTTTTTTATCATTTGTTCATTTTAGACATTTTATGCGTGGTTTTATTTTATATAAACAAGCAGAAACGACAATGAAATTGAAAAAGGAAAAGAGACTGAGACTGAGACTGAGAGAATGAGTAAGAAGTGTTGCACACGTATTTTTGCGGTAATTTCTTTGCAGGATACTACAAAACGTTCAAAAGGTGTACAAAGCAAAATGATTTTTAATTAGCTATGAGTGTGTTGTGCGGACTGGCGGAATAGTAGAATTAATTTAACTTCTTATTTTTTTGTGCCTTTGTCAGCAGAAATTCTAAATAATGTATTTCTGTGGAAGAAGAAAACGCAGGAAAAAGTAAACAAAAAAAAACGTTAACGTTAAATGGCGCCAAAATTGCTTTGTCAAAAGTGCCGAACACTGCAGTAACTGTTAAATGAGTTTCTTTAAAATGCTTACGCGAAACGGAGCTTATTTAACCAAACACTAAACACTAAAAGGTTGTGAAGGTCCCACAAAAAGTTCCACAAAATAGCAAAAAAAGGAAACCCTGCAAAAACAAGTCTGTTTGTTTGTTGCACGCATGTAGGAAACTTACTGCATTGCATTGATTTGTTTTAGCAATCTTTATTCTGTTTTTTTTTTTTGTTGTTTGTGCTATTTTCGTCTCTTCAGTTCAAGGTTATAAAAGCTTAAAATTAACAAAATTTACATATTGTATTGCAATTGCACACACACACACACACACACACACACACGTAAATACACACGTCGAAGTTTTTTTTTTTTTGATTATTGACTGCGGCATAATCGCTCAGGAACTTGCCGCGGTTTACTACAGAGACAGCACATAACTTTTGCAGAAGTTTAATTCAATTTATTATTCTCTTTGTTTTCTTATGATTTTGTTTCAATTATTTTTTTTTAATTTGTTTGGTTGTGATTTCTTATCTCTTATAATTTGTTCTTTAATTTTATGTTTTTTGTTTTTGTTTTTATTTTTGTTGATTTGTTTCTGTGTGTGTGGTGGAGGCGAAAAGTGTTGTATAAACAAAGTAACATATATAGTTTTTGAGTGAATAAGCGCAATGGGAGTATGGGGACTACTTTCTGACTTTAATGAAGCTATATAACTAATGTTACTATTAGCGCTATTAGGCAAAACAATTTAATTAAAATGAATGTGGATCACAACTCATCTCACGAAACACGTCATTACTTAAGATCTTTAGAGTGCGCCCATTGTGATATTATGGCCGTGTACGAGTTCAAGTAAATTGATGGTAAATTGAGAGAAATAGTACATTATATCGGTGTGGCAGCGTATAGTGGTATTTACCAGCATTTCGAGTAAAGTAAATTAGATTAACATTAGGTAAATTAGGTGGTACCATTGTGAAAATTTTATTAGATGATTAATAAATAAATGAATAAATTTGAAAATATTTAATTAAAAATAATAAATAAGTACAATAAATAAATAAATAAATATTTACATAAGTGCAGTGCAAAAAATCCCTTGAATTCACTTTACCTCAACTTACTCGAACTCGCACACGGCCTATAAAAAAATTTTAAACACTAACTGATTTTAAAAGATTTTGGTTGGAAATATTCTTAAACTAAATCGATGAAATATTATATATGCAGTTTTGATAATGTTAGCAATGCCTTCAATATACACATGGGGGATGTCAGATAGATATTCAAAGATTTGAAAACTTTAATAAATAGAAACGATTCACTAAGTATTTTGTAGAGACAGACCAGATGTAATGATACCATGACCATGTATTGTACACCTGTGCAGTATTCCGTGATAATACTAATTAGAATTCTAAAGCTCTTTTTGTTTAACTGTGAAAGAAATTTTGTCCGTTTCCTTTTCAATCTTTAGATTGTTTGAAAGATGA